GTCACTCCCTCTGTAACTGAGTGTTACTCCCTCTGTAACTGTCCCTGGGTGTTACTCCCTCTGTGACTGAGTGTTACTCCCTCTGTAACTGTCCCTGAGCATTACTACCTCTGTAACTGTCCCTGAGTGTTACTCCCTCTGTGACTGAGTGTTACTCCCTCTGTAACTGTTCCTGCAGCTCTGCTGTCAATCATAGGAGGCTGACTGGGCTACACTGGCCAAGGCTGCAGGTACTTATCTCCCCACCAGCCCACCTAAACTCCAAAAAAGCCCATTATCGCCTGCAGGTAGGTACCTGCGCGATCGTTGTCAGTCCACATAACGCACACATACACCTTTTCACAGCGGGCTCTCCTGGCAGTGATTCTACTGTATTTAATGTAGAAGTTATTGTGGGTAGTTTCCTGTGGTCTGAACGTATCTCTTCAAACCTATGTGGACTCATTGATACAACAGGGACCGGTGGAGGGTGGTCCAATGAGTCAGATGATGTAGTTTTCCCCACCCACATTTTTTTGTTGCAATAAACATAAATTAAATCTGTTTCTGACTAATGCATTAAAAAATTATAATTAGTGATAATAATTGTGATCAGTTCTGTGGTTTGGTCCCATTCATGTCTGAAGAAGCTGCAATGAGGCTAAGCAATTAAACATGTCAAGATTTGGGGTAATTTTTTTAACACACATACGTCTATCTTTGGGTTTATGGCATTGAATGTCTCATTGGGTCAGAGAGTGAGCACAGGCAGTAAAATGGTCAGAACCCCAACATGGTGCAGAGTTAAATTTGGGAATAAAGTCTAGTTTCCCATCATCTTTAACGGGACACTTCGCACCAAAACAACTTTAGCTTAATGAAGATTATGCCCCTGCAGCCTCACTGCTCAATTATCTGTCATTTAGGAGTTAAATAACTTTGTTTACGCAGCCCTAGTCACACCTCCCTGCATGTGACAGTCTCCATAAACTCCTCCTGTAAAGAGAGATCTAACGTTTAAACTTAATTTATTGCACATTTTGTTTAATTTAGAATGTCTTGTCTATTGCTCTGGAATTGGAATAGTCAGTCCCTGCATTCTTGTTAATGTAAACACTACGTTAACTAGAAGTGCTTTTTGGGGCAGTGATGCACAGTTAGCAGGACTGCCATATAGCATCTCCACCCTTTGCATGGAGACTGTAGGGAGATGCTGATTGGCTAGGGCAGAATTTGACCCTGCCTCCTGCCTTGTTTCCTTGGCTGAGATCATTAGAATTGACAATTGGCGATTCTGATGATGTCAGCCAAGGAGGCGGATTGGGGCCAGGTCAGTTCTTTTACCAGAGGAGGAGTTTAAGTCAGTTCCACTTCCTATGTGAATGAGAAGTGTGAGTACTTTCTCTGACACACGAAGTGAAGCTGACTTAAAATCCACCTTTGGTCCAAGAAAGTCAAGTGTAGGAAAACACAAAAGCCAAAGTAGTCCCTACTTTGTCTAATGTTTTAAAGAAAACTAGATCAGAAATGAAGAAAAGAAGAACAGATACTGAGAGAGGAAGAGAAGAGGAAACAATAGAGGAAGGTAAGTTCGGCATGACAGTGCCACTTTAAATTATGTAAATCAGTTTCTCTGCAGGCTGATAATCATTCCTGTAGTATACATTAGAATGAGTGCGGCTACCTGTACTAAATGTTGTTTTGCAAAATAAATGAATGTGGAAATGTTTTTACGATTCTTGGAGTTGAAGGGGTTAACAATTCTTTCTTCAATAAAACCTGTTTTGGTGCAGAGAGTATCTTGCACTCACTACCCCTGCTGAGATTGGCTTCTCGAATCGGCCCTGTTATGTTTCATTTTCTTTTGGTTTTATTTTAAAACACATCACAGTGGTTATGGTACTTTGAGTATTCCTGTTACACGAGTTTTAGGTATTTTTTTATGTTTTATTCAACAGTTTATTTTCCATAGAAGCGAGAGTTTCACCTTAAATTACAGTTAAACATACCCCGTAATTCACCTGCAACACAAACCACTTACTGCAGCCCAATCCTCATACCACGAAGTTTTCAAGCTTGATAACGTTTCTGCATTAAAGGACCACTCTAGGCACCCAGACCACTTCAGCTTAATGAAGTGGTCTGGGTGCCAGGTCCTTCTAGGGTTAACCCATTTTTTATAAACATAGCAGTTTCAGAGAAACTGCTATGTTTATGAATGGGTTAAGCCTTCCCCCTAATCCTCTAGTGGCTGTCTCATTGACAGCCACTAGAGGCGCTTGCGTGCTTCTCACTGTGATTTTCACAGTGAGAGCACGCAGCGTCCATAGGAAAGCATTTAAATGCTTTGAGGCGATGCTGAATGCGCGCGAAGCTTGCTGCGCGGCGCATTCAGCCGACGGACGGAACGGAGGAGGAGAGAAGGAGGAGAGCTCTCCGCCCAGCGCTGGAAAAAGGTAAGTTTTTACCCCCTTCCAGAGCCGGGCGGGAGGGGGTCCCTGAGGGTGGGGGCACCCTCAGGGCACTATAGTGCTAGGAAAACGAGTATGTTTTCCTGGCACTATAGTGGTCCTTTAAAATACTTCTTATATAGAAGAAATACAGACATCTGGCGCATGTGCAGATCTTTGAAGGAAATAGGCTGATAAAATGTTATTTCTTTAGTATACTTTTTTGAGAAGATGTCTCATTGACAAAAAATGTTGGCACCCAATAGTATGTACCAGTGAACGCAAACAAATAGTAATTAGGTGATATTGTTTATTCTGGAAATAAAATGAGTTTGTATGATTACAGTACACAAATATACTCAAAGTCAATATGGGGGTCAAGGGTGGAACCTCTCGCCGTGATACTGTGCAGACTGTACAGCGATATCATACGAGAAGAGATTACAGATAAATGAAATTTCACTTTCAGCAAAGGAAATAATTTTATGTCTCTTTCTAAACTCCTTAACGATGGCATGGCGGTGTATGCCATCATGCAGTGTTGGCCTTTAACACCTGATGACGGCATAGACCTTTGTGCATTTAAGGTGCCAGCAGGGCCACTAGGGAGCCCCATGTATCATTTTTTCAGCCGGAGCAACAATCCATGGCCCCAAACTGACAGACGAGCTGTACTCCGGTCTGATGATTAGATATAAATGCTAGAGTTTGCAGAGGACAGAATGAGACACCAGGTCTCCCTGCATGTCCCCCTTCCAACTGTGATCAACGCTGCGCTTTACCTGCTACCCAGCAGGGATCAATGTGTGATCAGCAGGACAGCTAGTAGGAGCTGCAGTATGAGAGAGAGATCCCACAGAGCACTCTCTATTGTATAACCTGTGAGTCAGTACTGCCATCAGCAGAGGGAATTTCTCTAAGAGAGGGTTAGGCGTAGGATTGGTGTTAGGGTAAGAGGTAGGATTAGTGGTAGGATTAGATTTAGAAATAGAGCCAATGTTTCACACTGCTCAGTATGGTGACACACATTGTGTCACTTTCTAGAATCGTATCCTTAGTGAATAAGCAAAGAGGCATGCCATGCCTGTTATTGCTACACCCCCCTGGTTGTCAATCAGATAGCCAGTCCTGTTACTTCCTGGTTTGTTTAGCACTTGCCCCAAGCACGTGCCTTGCAAAGACTTCATATTGAGCTGCATTGGGAAGTCTGTTATTGGACAGCCACAGAAAGTCTGGGCAGGGTTAGGGTACAGAATGTACATGTATTTGTAGTGTGTGTCCCACAGGGCACAAGCCTTCCCCCTACAGCCTTACCCCTCCTTCCCCCCCGCACCCTCTCACTCTCTCTCTCTCCTAGTGTTCTGTTAAAGAGACAATGTCTACAAGTCTTTAAGTGGGGGGAGTTGAATGCTAATATTACAACTCTGTGCAGGGACACTGCGGTGTTCATACACGGAGCCGAGAATAGTAGAAAAGTAACAAGGGAATTATACATTTTAGGTGAAAATTAAAGAATGGAGAAATAACTTAGTTTGAGATTTTTTTTTCACTTGTGTTGTCTTCAAATAAAATTATGCAACCTCACCAGCTTTTCAGCTTTTTTGATTCTCAATCATTTCTTGTATAGTGGAAAAAAACAGAGACGAGGCCAAAGGAGAGCTTATTCTGGTCCTTGGAGTGACGCTTTAATACTATGCCAGGGACAATGCATTGGGAGTGGGCTTACTTGCATAACGAGTGCAGTATTTTGTGCGTTCTCTAACTAGGAGAGACTAACTTCCATTACACAACAATGACCTTATAATTGCAGGTGGCCATTTACCTGACCAGTCCCTAATCCCTTCCTTTTCACTTACACACCAGTGGAGCTGGTTCTACATGATTTCCTCCACTTTTCCCATTTTGCACTAAATATTGGTTTCCCTTTGTCTACCAAACTGAGGCCTGTCATGCTGTCTGTGAAAAAGATTAAAGCGGTGTAAGTAAATAATAAGCTCGCCAATGTAAAGTTTCAGACAGTTTAGCTCATTGCTGGAGATGAAATCTCGTGGTTTTCCAGCAATTTGCCATATTGCACCACGTTGGGTTAATCCAAGAATTACGTCATCCAGTCCCCGAGTGACTCGTTCCATTGTTTGGCATTGTGCACTTCCATACTGTCTGGTAACCAAAAGAATAAAGATTTTGACCTAAAATCCCCACTAGGGTATTCAAGGGATGACGAGTGTAATTTGGAGCCGAAAAAGCACAGTTTTAAATTCTTTAATCTTGCAATATGACCTGTAATTGCCGGTGGGAATATAAATCGATACGGCATATGTACATCTTCCAGTGCTGTTCAAACTTCTTCTCCGAGATAAAGATCAGGTTTGTAATGCTCTCTCTCTGGCCAGACTGGTGTCATCTCTCCCAGCTCAAATTCTCTCTAGCAAACAGCATTATGGACCCATTAGGAAGGAGATTCTCGTTACAGCTACACAGGCAATATTCTATACCAAAGCCTCGATTAGCAGTCTGGATCAGACAGTTGCAATAAATAGAAGAGTACACACAGTGTAGTACGTCCTTTGGCTGACTAATGTTGTTTATTTCAGAATGTAATATTTGTTCCTTGGGCAGCTAGCGTTCAGCTGTATCTGTTGCCACTATAGGCAGGCATACATAGTGAGAGACATTCATCGCTTATACCAATAGCACGTGAGGAGCACTGCTGAGAGAGGAGATTTAAATATCTTACGGCCCTTTAAATTGTACATACCGTACACATCGTTCTTTATATAGCACCTTTACTCACAGTCCTGTGCATTCCCCGTCTCATGATCCCAGCAGGGAACATTAACCCATTGGGGTTTATTCACTGAACAATACATTATAGGGAATTGGCAATCGAATTGCTAAACTTGGGCAAACAAAAAGCCAGACTGTGTCAATAGGAGGGTTGGAAAATGCTTCCAAATTAAATATTTTGGCCTAAATTTTACCTTTGGATTTTCAGTTTTTTACAGTTCGGTATTTTGGGTAATACACCTAAATCTAAGAGGAGTGCAAAGTATTATATAAAAGAGTTTTGGGCCCAAAATGCACTGTGTCAATGTATACATACTTAATTTGTTTTACATTCTGAGCTATTTCTATAGAATCTAAGCAGCACAGCCATTGGTGCTTGTTGCAAAATTAGTGGTGCAATGAATCGGTAGTGAAATCTGGTCATTTCATTTCCTACTGCTTTTTTTTTTTAATTATTCATTAAATACTGACACTCTTAGCCAATCACAGCCACCCATTGCTACTCAGGCCAATGCTTCCACATTAGCCTGAGCAGCTCCGAGAGAATGGACTGCTGGGCCTCTCGTTTAGCGTTCAAACATTAAAAACAATTTAATTCTGAGTAGTACAGATTACAGACACTATAAGCACTTCACTAAGATGAAGCAGATACAGTGCGTACAGTGTCCCTTTAAGGTTACAATAAACATAGGTTGCAATTAGTCTAAAACCTGTATTTTGCTGGCCGAGGATGCAAAGCGATATAACAAAAGAGAGAATATGAGAACTCTGACAAAGGTCAAAAGCTTAGAAGAACTCCGTACAGATACAGCAACCCTGGATTTCAGCCTTCTTTGGCCATTGTCGGCGAGGTGTAGCTGATACCCTTCTAGGCACAATGAGCACAGGGTCCATGTCTGGATTACCCTTAGAGATGTAGTCCAACAAGTGGTATACCAGTATTGTCAGATTTGCTAATTTCGTCAGAGGAACGTATAATAATCACTAATTCAGAAGACCCACCAAATCAGTTCTTGCTTTAAACATAAGTAATATAAGTAATAACAAGTTCTAAAGTTCTCAACAACTTAAAGTGACACTGTCACAGCCCAACTACTGGCATAACCCAATAGCTACTGAACGTTATCTATGGTTTGTGATTAAAAATACTTTAATACTCTTTCTTTTTATTTACATTTTGTGCCAGGCATTCCTAGCACAAACAGAACATCTCTGGTGCCATGCATGCATAAGTCACTCTGGACAAAAAGACAAGCAAGCTTAAGGTCTTGCAGCAAGTTCCAGTGCTCCTTAAATAGAAAAAAAAGCTCCAGTCAGGGTTCAGCTCCTGAAAAAGCAGTCTCCAGTTAGGTACTTCCTTCAAGGAAGAACCAAATACTCCCATCATGAACGTACTTTCTAGAAAGAAACCATAGCTCAAGTCAGGGACTTCCTTTTTGGAAAGACGGCAGCACTCCAGTTATGCATTTCCTATGAGAAAAGAAGCTAAATAGCAATGATGCAATTCCTTCCTGGAAATAAACCAAACTTCTATTCTAGGACTTCCTTTGAAAGAAAGAGAAGCCAAAGTTCCAGTCAGGAACTTCTTCTGCAAAACATAATGGCCACTACTCAACAGGTCCTTTTCTGTGTTATTTGCTGGTATCTCTTCCTCTTCCATACCCCTATCAAGTGGAATATCTCTGACACTGTCTTGGGCCCTCTACTCATCTCCACTTAATCCCATTCGCTGGTTAAACTTATCAAAAACTATGACTTTAAACAATCACCTTTATGATGATGACACTCAGATCTACCTCCCCACTCCTGATCTTTCTCCCTCTGTCCTCTCTCACATGCTTATGTAAAATTTCTTCCTGGATGGCCTCCCGTCACTGAAAGATCAATAGGTCCTAGACTGAGCTCCTTCTGGTTGCCCCTCTAGCTCTTCCAAGATGTTTTTTTTTTACCAAATCCGCTGCCTTGGACTCCATTCGTTCCCTAATGCCCCACATCCAATCAGTTTCTTCATCCAGATGCAACCACTACTGCAATAACCTACACATTGGCTTTCCATTTTTAAATGCCTCTGCCTGACTTATCCATCTTCCTGTCTCTCTGTATCTACTGCACCTCTCTGCGAGTCTCCTCATTGGCTCCCCATCCATATGAGAATTAAATTCAAAACTCTCACTCTGACCTACAAAGCCTTTACTAACTCTACTAACTTTACTAACTCTACTCCTCACTACATATCCTCACTAATCCACAAATATACTCCACCCCTTACATCACTCAGTATTAACATTATTCTCACCCTTGCAGTCCCCACCTCCTGTTTCGCATCCTCTTTGCCCCATTCCCACAGGAATAGGGCCCTTATCTCATCCTGTATTCGTTCGTCAAGTTTTTTAGTGTCTTATTTTTATTGCACCGTGTCTTCTTATTGTGCCATTGTACCCATGGACAGCACTGAGGAATGTGATGGTGCTCAATTTGGGAACTTGCTTCCAGAAAGAAACCCAACACTGAAGTCATGGGCTTCCTTTATGGAAATCAATAACAACGAAATAAGTCAAACTCCAGTCAGGAAGCTTCTTTGAGAAAAGAGGCCAAAGCTCCAATTATGAATCTGTTGAAAGAAGTCAAAGCTCCTGCAAAGGTTTTCCATCCTGGAAAGAAACAACAGCTTTAATCGGTGATGTCCATGCTGAAAAGCATCTTCCATCATGAAAAATGTGTCAAACCTCAATATGGCGACTACTTTAAAAAGACTCAATGTGCTGGGTTGAGTGGCCATTTTCTCAAATAGAGGGAGTACCTACAATGTTTAAAACCTGGAACAACCATAGAAACATAGAATGTGACGGCAGATAAGAACCATTCGGCCCATCTAGTCTGCCCAATTTTCTAAATACTTTCATTAGTCCCTGGCCTTATCTTATAGTTAGGATAGCCTTATGCCTATCCCACGCATGCTTAAACTCCTTTACTGTGTTAACCTCTACCACTTCAGCTGGAAGGCTATTCCATGCATCCACTACCCTCTCAGTAAAGTAATACTTCCTGATATTATTTTTAAACCTTTGTCCCTCTAATTTAAGACTATGTCCTCTTGTTGTGGTAGTTTTTCTTCTTTTAAATATAGTCTCCTCCTTTACTGTGTTGATTCCCTTTATATATTTAAATGTTTCTATCATATCCCCCCTGTCTCGTCTTTCCTCCAAGCTATACATGTTAAGATCCTTTAACCTTTCCTGGTAAGTTTTATCCCGCAATCCATGAACCAGTTTAGTAGCCCTTTTCTGAACCCTCTCTAAGGTATCAATATCCTTCTGAAGATACGGTCTCCAGTACTGTGTACAATACTCCAAGTGAGGTCTCACCAGTGCTCTGTACAATGGCATGAGCACTTCCCTCTTTCTACTGCTAATGCCTCTCCCTATACAACCAAGCATTCTGCTAGCATTTCCTGCTGCTCTGTTACATTGTCTGCCTACCTTTAAGTCATCAGAAATACCCAGATAAGAAGCAAAAGAAAAAAAATGCCCAAATTGTGCATAAATAGGTATAAAACATAAAACCTTTACTTCTCAATTTAAAGTTTGTGGCTGACATCATGATGGAGCCTATATCGGTGGTGTCTTCCCACTGCTGTACAGTCCCACTTGAGTACATGGTCAGTCAATAAAATTTGTGTCACAGGCTCAGAACCAGATGCAGCTTGTGTGCACTTTGAATGTCGTATTTTAATCGCTATCTTTTTATTGAACACTTCAGGCAACACCTACTCTGTGTAGATATGGAATCCAGACCAGATTCCTATTGGGTTGAGCACCTCACCCACTATGGGTGCCCCACAGGAAAGCTGGCATTGAGGAGAATATGTTTAGCAGTTTAAGTAGTAAGTATTGCAATTATCATGATAATCTCCGATGTTAAAATTATTGTAGGATCCACCAATATTGAGTTACTGTGACATAGTAGTTGGCTCAACACGCTATGGCCGTATGGTGGAACTGAAGCCCAATATTTATTTGCTGAGATAGGTGATTATAAGTAGCCTTGTGAAATTTTTGTCTGTGCGCTAATGCCTGTTTACTGCCCTGAGACAAACACCTCACATTGATAATTTTCTCAATTTCCTGCTGTATGTTATCAATACAAATATTAGAAATATAAGACTCTGAGGACATCACAGCTGATGTAAGAAGTAATCAGATTGTTGTATCAGAAAAGATTACCTGTGAATCTCTGGAAATAGTTGCGCAGAATAACATAGCAACTCAGTCAGTAAAGCAACTTTTGCTTTAGATTATTTTTTCACTGAATTCACTGAATTTATTTGTGTTTTATGAAGCTCCCCAAGTAAGCCTTTAGTTTGATCTCTAACTAACTTCTGTGCATCATACAAGGAATCGTATGACAATGCCAGACTATTTTGGAGATGCAGATTTTCCTGATGGATTTACTTGATGAATTGACAAAAGTTGGCATTGAAAGTT